TTCTTCCCTAATAGCTTTGGAATAGTTCTGGGGTGTTCATCTGATCCTGGCTTTGGGGGAATAGCCCATCTGATGGCACACATTGCCTGTTCCAGTGCAGGCTTGGCTGATTTTCATCAAACCAACCTGGATTTTGCCTTTTGGGTTGTTTTTCTGCCGCCTGTGTGCACCAGTCTCAGTCCTTCTGTGTGCTAGGAAACTCCTCAGCCATGCTGAGCTCTGCTGGGTGCCACCATTGGCAGAGGGCTGTGCTGTGCAGCAAGAACAGACTGTGATTGCTCCTCCATGCCCTCCCTGGGCACTCAGAGGCACCACAAACAGCCTGCAGTGCAGCTGCTCCTTGCTCTGGAGCTGCAGCTGGAGTCAATCAGACAGAGAGAAGGGGTGCTGGGGTTGGCTCTGACACCCTAAAATGAGTGTGCAGTTTCTCAGCCTGGGTGTTGCTCTCTTTTCCAAAGCTGTGAGATCTTCCAGGTCTTCCAGGCTGATCTTCCATCAAGTCGAGTTGTGGTTTCCCCATCCCTGCAAGTGTCCAAGGCCAGGTTGGATGGAGCTCAGAGCAAGGCAAGGGTTGGAATAAGATGAACTTTAAGGTCCTTTCCAATCTAAACCAGTCTGTGATTCCATTATTAAACCCACTATGCCTTAAGTTTTAACTTTCATATTTTTTAGATTCTGTACTGCCTCAGTGTGTGACTCTGACTTCATATAAAGTGTTAGCAAGTTCTCCTCACAGCTTAGTCACACAGAGCAATCCTTTTCCAGCCTGATCTCCAAGGACACCATTGCAGCTTCAGGCTCAAGGAATATCAACAACAACAAATTGAGGACAGCAATCTGGGAGGATGGGACTGCATCACCTGGAGCTGTAACTGGACAATTAACCCCAGTATGTAAATTTACAAAATTTAAGTTTATCAAAACTTATAAAAGTGTGAAAACTCATGACCAGTTATCCATCTTGTATCCATCTTGGGCAGAGCCAACACCCAGCTCTTGCACTGCCCAAGGTGCATCCTTTGAAGGCCTTTTGATAAATATCCTTTATTCCTTTAACTCTGTTCCAGGTCAGCCTCTTTAGGCATCAATTTCACATGGGGAAGCATCACAAGTGAGAGTCACAGGCATGCAGGAGTTGTCCTGGTGGAATCTCAGCTCCCTCCCCAGTCTTGGTGCAGGCTCTGTGTGCCCCAGCACTGCCTCTGCCCTGTGCCTGCCAGTTCAGGCAGGGGTTACTGTGCCAGGTAGGGACTCCCCAGGTTCAGGATGCAATGTGGTTGTGGAATGTGAAGCAAAAAAGATCTTAAAGATATTTTCAGATTATTCTTTCCGCCATTTTTCATTGTAATTTACATAAATTGGTTGGGGTTTTTTTTTCCCAGCAGAATGGCTGGGAAAATTCAGCTTGCTGTTAAATTTGTGCCACATTTCCTGTCGCTCTTCGTTTCCACTCAGGCAGCCTTTCAGACCTGCACAGGTGACTGGCTTGCTGAGTATGAGGACTGCCAGGTGAAGCCTAAGGATTGGTAACTGCCTGCACCCCCTGAGCCTGGGTCCCCCTGCAGAGTGGCCAATTCCACCCTAATTCACCACAGGGACAGGTGGCCAGCCCACCTGAGAGCAATGCTGGCTCACCTGGAGCATCCTGAGCTTCTCAAGGACCTTTGGAACCTCCTGTGGTGCTCCCCAAGCTCTGTGCTGTGAGAGTGCCAGCACCTCAGGAATGCTCCCCCCTCTTTGATCCATCAGTGTCTCCCCTCTGATCCACAGCTCATAACGAAATAATTGTTAGAGATGGTTCTTTCACATAAAATAGAGATGGTTCTTTCTGGTTTTGTTTAATCTTGAAATAGTTTGTGTCATGTTCCTCAGCCTGTGTTTGCAGACAGACTTGGGGAGCTGCTTGAGATGACTCCAGAAGCGAACAGAGCCTCTCTCCAGGGTGAGAGCTGCTCACCCACATGTGATACTGGGTTAGCTGTGACCTTGAAAGCACCCTAGGGACAGACAGTCCTGTTCTCATGGCTCTCCCGACATGTTTTGTCCAAGAATTCAGCTAACTTTCCTTTTTGGCTGGAGTTCACAAACCATTTTCTTTTAAAATAAGGAAGTATAAGATGTTTTGTCAGTCCAGCTACATTGTGGCTGTCTTATGCTCTGTAATACCTTGCTTGAGATCACAGAGGCTGCATATGCACCGTCTGCACTGTTACTTATATTATAATAATGTTCAGGAGAACAAAGATGACTCATGAATGTGTTTTTGGAAACACAGATTCTCTGTAACACCTCCTTGCTGAGAGATCTTTAATGATCCCACCAGCAAATTGCCAGAGCAGTGAATCATGTTTGATTTTAGATGTTATTCTTGTCGCTTTAAGGGATTCCAAATCATTCTTTTGGTGTTTGTGAGCAATCACACAGACATTATGGCTTTATCCACGGCTGTGTCTTAATTTATTAAATGTTGAGTTGTTGGACATGAAATTTGGTGTTATTTTGTAGTCTCTTCTTGAACTGAGTTGGTAGAGCCCGAAACATCAGACAGGACAACCCAGTGGTCTTGGAAAACTCAATTCGCTGTGAGGGTGAGGTGTCATAAGGAACTTTCCATATTTTATCAGATGATAACTCTAAGCCAAAATGCTTGGATCCAGACCCAGATAAAAAGTGCCTCCAAGGACAAATCTGAAGAGCTCCGGGGGTTTCCATCAGAGCCAATTTCATGCTGTGATGTAAGACAAGGTTATTTCCATTAATGTTTAAGTTTTGCATCATCTGTTCTCTCATGCTTTAACTTTTTCACTTTCAGCAGCAAATCAATCATCATAACACTACCAAAAGGTTGGTTTTGTCATGTGCATGTTATAGCTCAGGGTGGATTATCCTGGTGAAATATATACCTATGGGAAAGCACTTTGGAGGCAAATATCTGCTGACAAATAGTTTTGTCTTGTTCACTAAGACCCAAATTTTTTAAAAGTAGATGTCAAAGTTGGAGTTTTCCGAGTCCTATGCTAGCATTTACATGAGTATAAGTGTCTGCTGTGTGCCAGCTGAACAACACGAACTTAACCAGCACTGACTTTCTAAACTGGTGGCTGGGTTTGATCCGCTATCTTGCATGTTTTCTGCTGTGCCCCATTCCTTGCAGTGTGTGCAGGGCTTGTCCTTGAACAAGTGATGATGTGTGCTGTGAAATTGTCCCTTGTGACAGCAGCAGCGCCTCCTCTGAACGCCCTTCAAGCTGCACTTCCCACTTGACCTCTGCGCGTGGCTGTGGGAGGGATTTTTGTGATGCTCCCAAACTCTTCAGCATCTTCAGCAAGTCTCCATTGAAATGGTAATTTCTAGAGCAGTACTTCAGGCTCATCTCAGCTTTAGATAAAAATTAAATGTGGATTGCCTCATTCTGCATATTGAATACTAAGGGATGCACTCATTTGTTCTCTCTGCAGACACACGATGCTCTGCCAATTTCCTTAATCCAGGCACAGAAGCAGTCAGCAATTGTTTCCATTCACTTTTGATTCCATCTATAAAAGGAAATACCTGCAATCACCAGAGGCTTTTCAGAGCAGGGATTTTGTAGAACTTGCCCAATTTCAACAAACTTTTTGTCTGCTGGCTTAATGGGCACTATCTGGCTGCACATCAGGGTGTCGGTTTTAGCTCCCATTGTGCTGCCATGTGTTTTTTATTGCAGAGATCATCAGTTATTTTAGGATTTCCCCATCTCTCCTAGACTCTCTCTACTAACCTGTCAAAAAAGTCTAACCCCCACCTCTGAAATATTTTAAACTTTCCTTTATAAGTGGATTGCTCGCTGGGCTGATATCGCATCTTATATTTAATATCAATTTTCGCAGACTTTCATGAGTTGTCACACTTTATTCCACCTTCTTCTAGACCAATATTCCACCCTTGTCTCAAATTTTTGCCACTTCTCTCTCTATGTGGTGTTGATAACACCCAGCAACCCTATGGCTGGATCCTCTGTAACATTTCTTAGTTATCTCCAGGAAGACAGGAGGAGATACATGAATGCACCACCATTTATCAGACTAAATGAGGACAGGGAGCTTTATTAGAAGGCTCAGAGCTGACTTAAATTAATATTGCCCACTGTGAGGTGTTACAAAGCTTTTTTTTTTTTTTTTTTTTTTCCTGAAACAATAGTCTGCATTGGGAATTCAGCATTGAGATGTTCTGTAGGCAGGCATCAAACAGAGATTGAGCCATGACCAGGGCAGGGAGCAGCTCTAAGCCCAGCTCAGGGTGTTTGGGCCTCTCCTTTTTGCTGCTTTTGGGGAGGGGTAGAATTTCTGTGACCACAGCTCTGATCACTCTGTGAATCTCCTTGTGCCTGGCCATATTCCTGCAAGAATTGCAATAAAGGTCCAACCAGATGGATGAAACCTGAGTGTTTGTTCACAGGAGCTTGGCCAGAGATAAATCTGTGCTTACCTGGCTTAAGGAAACTTGTGCCACAGCTGAGCCCTTCTCCAGTGCTTGCCAGGGTGAAGCTGGAGCATGGCAGGAGTGCAGAGGCAGAGTCACCCTCTCTAACCAGTGCATTTGAATTATGGGATGTGGAGCATGAAACTGGGCTCAGAATTGCACAAAATATTCTGCTGGGTTTTTTTTTTTGGTGGTTTTTTTTTTTTTTTTTTGCCAATTTGACCTGAGCTAATCAGATGCAATCAAGTCAAGTGGCACTGATGAAACCCATATTCCTCTTTCATTTCTAGCCCAAATTATATCTGTCATTACTTCTTTTTTTTTTTTTCTTGTTGGCTTTTTTTTTTTTTTTTTAACAATTTCCAGAAGGGTGTGTAGAAACAAGGCAGTGACCAAGTTTCACTTCCCTTCTTGCTCTCTGCAACCCTCAGAGACACGCAGTGAGATAAGCAGGAGTGGTGAAACACAACCCCTGGCACTGCAGGAGCTGTCTGTCTCCAGGTTTCTCTCTCCATGCTCCTTTCTCCTGCACTCCTGGCCTCCTGAAGATGCCCAGGAGAGGAGCCCTTCCCTTGGGGACACTCCTGGTGCTGCTGCTGCTGCTGGCATTTGTCCCATCCCCACTGGCAGGCTGCCTCATGGACCCCTGTTTGGAGGTATGTGAGCTCTGAGTGAGCACAAAATCCTTCTGTTTCTCTCCCTTTGCTTGGGAGATTTGTGCCTCAAGCCTCTTAGGAAAGCCCAGTTTTATTTTATTCTTTTTTTCCCCCAAGGTTTTTATCAAAGTGATTGAAGTATTTGAAGTAAATTCTAGTCTCTAAAACATCTGAGAACTAGAACCAGCAGCAAGAACTTTTTCTTCTCATTGGTTTTCTGTATCTCTGAGGGTGCTGCAGTGCAGTTATTGTAATAGATTATATTTCCCTTGGAAGGGCTCTAAATTTTGTCTAATTTCTACAAAACAGAGAGTTTTTCCTGGTTTGTGCAGTAGAGTGATTTCACCTAGTACCTGACACAGATTTTGCAAAGTTTTGCTGGCAATTATTTCCTTGCAGAATAACTTTGGTTCAAGCTGCCTTGGGTTCAGATATTTGGTTATGTGCAGGGGAAGAGAGCTGAGATCTGTTCCTGGGCATGCAGTGCATCTATCAGTGTTTGTCCTGCTGGCTGTCTATCTGTCACCTCAAGGAATGTTGTCCTGTAATTTTTCCCAGCTTTAATCAGCAAGAAATGCAATTCTTCCTGGGGAGTAGAACTGGGTCTATTAGGAATGAGAAAAGGGTTTAGGATATGTAAGATTATTTCCTAAAACTCAGGGCATCTCCTTTAGAAATGAATGGCAAGGAGGGTGATTCTGCTCCTGCTTTCCTGACAGTGACATTTCCTGGCACTTCATGGAGAGCAGATGCTGACCATGATGGGGTCTGCCTCTGTTACAGATCACCCCTAACACAACTTTCAGATGCACTGGACCGAACATCTCTGGAGTTCCTGATGGAGTCCCAAACACCACCCTGAACCTGGACCTCAGTTTCAGCAATTTGAAATCACTGGGGTCAAATTATTTTGCATCAGTCCCTGAGCTGCAGTTTCTGGATCTTTCAAGGTAATGGATTTATTATGTGGATCCTGGTAAATTTTTCTTCACCAGCTGGGTTACAATGGTGCCTTATTTTGGGGTCTATTGGTCTTGGCTGTTTATTTTTTTTTTTCCTTGTGACTTTGTCCCTGTGCCTGTCATTTTGCACATCCCCGTGGTGAAGTGATGAGCAGCTTTTAGTCCAGTCACTGAGTGCACACCCTCCATCAGAGCTGGGTCTGTCAGTCTGATCTTGTAGGCTGGGAATGTGAGAAGGAGGAGGAGGATGTTTCACTTGTCTGTGAACAAGAAAAATGTCAGACTTTTCACTGTTACAAAAACTCTGAAGTGGAACATCTTGGGTGAGCTGTTTTTCTAATCACAGTTTATAAAAAAAAATAACATGAAGGTACATTCATTTTCTAAAAGGCTGTTTTAAAATATCAACATATTCTCTTTTGCCTTCTCCTCACATATCTGGGGGAGGAGATGGGGGAGGCCTATTAGCAAATTTGAATTGATGTATAATTTCCATTGACTTCAGACAACAGTTTCTCTGGGTAAATTGTTTCACTGAGAAATGTCACTCAGCCCCGTCACAGCTCTGGCTCCAAATTGGCTGAGTGGCAGAGCACATGTGCTGTGAGGCACTGCCTGCCTTATTAAACTAATTCTGCTGGGATTCACTGCACAATGGATTTGGGTCTCAAATTCTGGATCTTCCCACATCATACACACCTTAGGGGGCCACGATCATTTTCCTCTCTTCCTTTTCTCAGCCTGGGCTCTGCTCCCTCTGAGCCATCACCAGATATCAATTGCTGCCAAGCTGTGAGCTCTGCCACAGCTGCCCTGCTCTGGTGCCACTGGGGCTGCCCAGGTGGGGCTGAGGTGGCACCCAGAGGGCTGGGGATGTGCCAGGTGTGAGGGAATGCTGGCTCTGGTTGGTTCTTCCATCAGTGATGGTCATCACACTGCCTCTTTGGCCTAAACTGATGGCTAGGAGTCTTCTTTCCTGCTGCCTGCACGGATTTTTGATCCTCACCAGGTCTCCAGGTCTCTAGTTTAGGATTGGGATTAGAGGAGGAGGTGAGAGGAGGTCTCCTGCTGGAGGAGAGCTCCCTTTGCACATCCAGGGATGCTTCTGCCCAGCCCAGCAAAGCCAAGCCAGCCCCCAGTGTGAGGCTGAGCCACAGCAGCACTCAGAGAACAAGGAAGGGACAGTGTCTCATGCATTTATATTTTCTTTTCATGCCCAACAGGTGCCACATCCATGCAATAGAAGATAACTCCTTTATGGATCTCCCTAGCCTTTCCACCTTGGTTTTAACTGCCAACTCCCTCCAGCAGCTGGGGAAAGCAGCTTTCAATGGCTTAACATCTCTGAAAAAACTGGTTCTGGTGGAAACCAACAGGACCTCTCTGTCTGAGCTGCCCATTGGCCACTTGCACACTCTGCAGGAGCTGAATTTAGGCCACAACAGCATTACTTCATTGAAGCTTCCCAAGTATTTCACCAACATGACCTCCCTCAGGCACCTGAGCTTCTTCTCTAACAGGATCACATCTATCTCCAGAGGAGACCTTGATGCCCTGAGGGAAGGGAACAGGCTCAACCTCACTCTGGTGCTTTCCTTGAACAATATAAAATCCATAGAGCCAGGAGCATTTGCAGGGATCCACCTTGCTGAGCTGGCTCTCAGGTCTGCTTTTGAGCGCTCCATGATGCAAACTTCTCTGCAAGGCCTGGCTGGTTTGCAGGTCAGCAGACTCATAGTTGGGGTGTTCAATGACGATGACAGAGAGCAGGACTTTGAGAGGGGGCTCTTGGATGGACTGTGCCAGGTGCAGATGGAAGAGTTTGTCCTGATCTGCCTTGGGGACTTTGAGGATGACACAGACACTCTCTTTGACTGCGTGGGCAACGTCTCCACTATTCGCTTGGTGGACCTGGGACTTGAGCAGATATCACAGGTTCCCGTGAGGTCTAAAGTGAAGCAGCTGGAATGCAAGAAATGTGGTTTTGATGATGTACCTGCCATGAAGCTGTCGCTTTTCAAGGAGCTGAGAGTGCTTCGTATTACCAAGAACAGAAGTCTCAAAACCTTCGAGCAGAAGTTTGAGGGTCTCAGTAACCTCGAGGTCATAGATCTGAGTGAGAATAGACTCACCTTCAGCAGATGCTGTTCCCATCAGTTTCGAAATTGTCCAAATTTGAAACACTTGAATCTAAGCTTCAATTCTTACATCAGATTGACTGGAGATTTCAATAATGTGGAGAATTTGTTATATTTGGACCTTCAGCACACAACCTTATTTGGTCCTGGCTCCTACCCTGTCTTTCTGTCCCTTCAGAGACTGATTTACCTCGATATTTCCCACACTAAAACCGAAGTTAAATCCCAGTGTACATTTTGTGGCTTGAACTCTTTGCAAGTGCTCAAGATGGCAGGAAACTCCTTTGCAGACAATAAGCTGGCAAACAACTTCAAAAACCTAAGTCACCTGCACACCTTGGATATTTCAAGCTGCAAATTGGAACACGTGGATCAAAGTACTTTTGATGCCCTCTCTGAGCTAAAAGAGCTAAACATCAGCAACAATAAGCTCCTGACTTTTGATCCTGGAGTCTACCAGCCACTACAAGCCCTCAGAGTCCTGGATTTCAGCAGAAACCAGCTGACTGTTCTGTTGGACTCAGCCAGGGAAATCCTGCCTGACAGCCTGCTCCTGCTGGATATCTCTCAGAACCTGTTTGATTGCTCCTGTGTGTACCTGGACTTTCTGACGTGGATCAAGGAGAATCAGGAGCTGCTGCAGAACGAGGAGCTGATGCTGTGCCACACTCCCTCGTACGTGGCCAATGTCAGCCTGCCAAGCTTTGATCTGTCCTCCTGCCACGTCGATGCAGGCAAAGTTGCCTCCTCGGTGGTTGTGCTGCTCTGTGTTGTGGTGCTCCTCTTGCTGGTTTACAGGTACTACTTCCAGCTCTACTACTGCGTGGTGCTGCTCAGTGGCTGCAAACACTACGCAGAAAGAGGCGACACCTACGACGCCTTTGTCATCCACTCCAGCAAAGACCAGGAATGGGTGACAAAGGAGCTGGTGGAACCCCTGGAAGGAGGAAGACCTCCCTTCCACCTGTGTCTGTACTACAGGGACTTCCTGCCAGGGGTGCCCATTGTCACCAATATCATCCAGGAGGGGTTTCTGAGCAGCAGGAATGTCATCGCTGTCATCTCCGCTGACTTCCTGGAGAGCAAGTGGTGCAGCTTTGAGTTTGACATTGCCCAGTCCTGGCAGCTGGTGGAGGGCAAGGCTGGCATCATCATGATCGTGCTGGAAGATGTGAACAAGGACCTGCTGAGGCAGAGGCTGGGGCTGTCTCGGTACCTGAGGAGGAACACCTACCTGGAGTGGAAAGACAACGAGATAAGCAAGCACATCTTCTGGAGGCAGCTGACAGGAGTGCTGATGGAAGGCAAAAATTGGAATCACGAGGAGGCAAAACTCATGTGAAGAGAAAGGAGGGTTCTTCCTGCCCTGTCTGCCATCCTGGCCTGATGGATGGTGTTTAGAAGTTGGTTCTTCTTGTCGCTATAGGACACGAAAGAACACAAGTGAACACCACTGTTCTCAAGGTGGAAAAAGGGAAGTTTCTTTTCTGACTCCAACATTTATAGTTTTCCAAGAGTGACAGTGGATTGGAGGGTGACAGTGCCACCTCTCCAATGACACTGAACAGACCAACAATCCATCAACTTTCTCCTCCTCCATAAAGGGATGCAAAACAACGAGTTATTTACAGAAAGTGTGCGAGAAAGTTCACTACAAGAATGTCAACATCAGAAGAAAATCTTTAAAATACCAGGGCAACACTTCTGTTGCTGTTCAGAGTCAGAGTGAGTGGATGGAGGCTCTGCCACGTCACTACAGAAATTCCTGCCTTGCTGGTCACCTTCTCTCAAGGAGATTTGCAAGTTAAGGAGTGACAAGGGCCAGAAGAGCTGCCCGAGCTCTGTGTTTGGCCATGGCTGTCACCCACAGGCGGCCCAGCAATAGCTCAGGTTTGGTGGGTGTAGGAGCAGACCAATGCCGTGACTGTCATCTGGCTGCTTCTGAAACTGGATTTGGGTCCTGAGACCATTTTCAGAGGAACTTCACAGTTTGTTGCTTTGAGTGGACCCCAGAATCTCAAAGGCAGAGTAAAGACAAAGGATTTTCAGCTCTAAAAACTTTGTCAAAGAGAAACAAGGTTTGGATGCTGAAAGTCTTGTGCGTGCCTCCATGGGCACCATGACTTGGCACAAACCCTCCAGGGAGCAATGGGACATCCTACAGCCCAAATGGGAGCTGCTCAGGTAACCTGAATAGTTTTGTCATCAGCAAGGGACGTTTCTGTGGTTGGGAAATTTGCCCAACATGTTTCTTTCCATTTTCTTTAGACCAAGACCAAATATTGAAACCATCACCTGAAAACCTTACTTATAGCCAGATTATATAGCATTTGAGATGGCATTTTGGAGTTTGCTTGGGGGGACAAGAAATGTGCAACACCTTTAAACTGAAATATTTCTTTGCTCCCACTGCTTCTCCTCATCCAGTGTTTGTGGATATGCTCTGGGACTGCCCCAAACAAGCAAAATTGATCCTGAACAAAGTGTTTTGATGTTTACAGATAGCCAGTTCTAGATTAAGCTTTTTCACTCTCTTCCAACCTTCTGTTGGAAGGTGCTGCAAGAGCCTCCAGGGTTTGAAATGGGGTTCAGATCTGCCTGCCTGTTTCCCCACCTGGAATTGCACTGGATGAGGGAGTTTTGCTTTGGTTTCACTGAGAACATACCTGGCATTTTGCAGGGAGAAGAGATAGAGGGGAAAAGTCTGGGTTAGCTGAACTAAATGTACCCCAGCAGTGTCCTGAATCAAGGGCAGGAAAGTCTGAATGCCATGGAATCCCAACACAGAGCACATCATTGATGTGTGGGACAGGGCATGGGGAAGGGGTATTGCTCTGTTTTTGCCAAAGGCTTTGGTTGGGATCCATCACTGAATTACTCTGGTGTTAATCTTGCAAAACCTTCTATGATCAGGGATGTTCTGCAGAGGTAAAACAGAAGCAACTGAGTGGTGAATCAGATCTGATGTTTATCTGCTCCCTTCTCTAAGCATCAGACAGGGACATTTCCATGGAAGCAGGATCAGGGATCAACATCAGACACTGCTGGGCAGAGAGGGAGAGCCAGTTCCAGGCCTTGTGCTGGCAAAAGTTGAATCACAGCTCCCTCTCTATGTGCTGTGTCAGACAAGACTACCAAAACCCCCCATAAGCTTCTTTTGTGACCCAGGAGATGAAGATTTAATAAAACTACGCTTGATGCTGCTTCCCTTTGCCCAGAGAGTTTGTTCTGCATCTGCTAAATCGTATTCCAGCAATTCCCAAAATGAAGTTCTCCTCACCTCTGCTGGCATTGATGGATCCTGCAGACCTCCCTCCTCACCCTTCTACCCCCACCTTCCTCCTCCTCCTCCTCCAGGAGGCTGCTGGGGATGGTGGGCACAGAGAACCTCGAGGTTCACTGCACTGAGGCCAAAGCAGAGCACAGTGGACAAAGCAAAGCTTAGCCTGAATTTCAGCAGCTCCAAGTTAAATTGGGAAACAAAAGAGGAAAAATTAAAAAGAGTGGGAGTTGCTGTTCCTGAATTGAGCAGTACTGAAGGTGCATTTCTCCTTCACTCTTTCTCTCTGTGGCTCCTCTGCAAACAATGCAGTGGATGTGTATTTCTGGCACAAAGCACAGAGTCCTATGATTCTTGATTGTAATTATAACAATGAGTTTCAGAAAGCCTGAGAGTGGTTCTAGGCATTTATAAAAGGGATTTAGGACAGTATTGTTTAAAAAGTCAGTGGTTTTTTTGAATATCAAAACAGTTTTAGGAGAGCTGGAGTGATGCTGAGATGAGGCTCCCATCAGTACAATTTTTAAAAAAAACTGGTCACTTGTTTTTTTCTTCCTATTCAGAGTCTCCACAGCAGACATGAATACCTGAGTTGCCCCTGGCTTCCTTATTGTCCAAGAAAAAGACACAAAACCCATCACAACTTCAGCTGCCCCTCTGTGGTCCCTTCCAGCCTGACCCCCTCTGTAATTCTGCATGCCCAGGCAGTGCTGAGGTTTATGAGTCCAAGATGGACAAGGCTGTGTGAAGGATTGTATTTTCACCATTTACCCAGCAGAAAAACTATAGATCTTTTTTTGGAAGATTCAAACTAGCTTTCCTCAATACAATAAATGGGGGAATATTGTGACCATGTTCACAGGGGTCTTAGGATGAGGGAAGAGATGAGGATCTGACTCCATGTTTCAGGCTTGATTTATTATTTTATTATATATTTGCATTAAAACTATACTAAAAGAATAGAAGAAAGGATTCCATCAGAAGGCTAGCTAAGAATAGAATAGCAAAGAATGATAACAAAGGTTTGTGTCTCGACTCTCTGTCTGAGCCAGCTGGACTGTGATTGGCCATTAATTAGAAACAATCAACATGGGCCAATCACAGACGGACCTGTTGCATTTCACAGCAGCAGATAATCATTGTTTACATTTTGTTCCTGAGGCATCTCAGCTTCTCAGGAGGAAAAAATCCTAAGGAAAGGATTTTTCATAAAAGATGTCTGTGACAGAATATTGTGATTCGCACAGAAACACACATACTCATTTGTCTTATTGTAGGAAGCAAATATCCAAAGGAAAACTCATCATTCTCATGTTTCCAAAACTGCTGGCATGCACTGTTTGGAGCTGCCCACTCTGCAGCAAGGCTTTGATAGGATTTACTCACTGGGTGAAAAAATGAGCAGCCAAGCAAACACCCCTGCAGCTCTGCATTCATCTCTCATGTAAATATCTGAAAATATTCCAGTTATTAAAGCATCTCTTTTGCCCAGGTCATAAAAACAGATGGAGACAAAGCTCCAAAGGGCTGTTGCATCCAAGCTACTCCATTTGCAGTGGGGGCATGCCCTGATTTCACTCTGAGCTTCATTTAACCCATGCAAAATGCCAGGACAGCTGCAGCTCTGGACTTCCCTTGTGGAGAGTGCTCTGAACAGAGAGTGCCCTCATTAGTGTGATTGCCTTGGTGCTCTGTTGGAATCCAAAATTCAGGGAATTCTCACAACTTTGGGCCTGGAAGCCAAAGCTTAGAATTAAACCCAGGATTTGATCTGAGACCTTGAAAAGGCTCCCAAACTGAGGTGCTAGAAGTGAGAATGTGGATTTGTAGTTTAAAGCAGAGACATGTTAAGCTAAGTAAAGGAAATTTTAGAGTTTTAGAGTTCAAGCTTTAGAAAAAATAAAAGTAGTTACTGAGATAAGGAGTACAGAATGCAGTGCTGGAGGTTTGTGTGTCATAGCATGATTGGCTAAGAAAGCTCACACGGTAGCCTGAGTCCATAAGACAAAATATTTAAGGATTGGGTCAAAAGCATAAATATCCTTGTTGGCAGTGTTTTATCGGTCAATAAATCCTTAAAAAGGTCTTGTAACTAGGGGTCTTGTGACTTTCTGAACCATGGGGTAAAGATGTGAGCCAAACTCACCCTTCCTGCCTAGGTAGAAGATAAGAAAAATAAATCGCATCATCAAAAACAATTCAGAGAACCCATCTCCAACCCATTCAAAACTCCTTCAAAAATCCCCACAGTGCGGCAGCTAGAAAAGCTGGAAAGCAGAGCCATGTGCAGCCCTTCCCACCTGGATCTGGCTGCCTGCAGGAGCGGCACTGCAGAAATGCTCCCCTGGCCCCCCTGAGCAGGAAATTTAGTGAATTTCCAAATTCACTAAAAACCCAGCCGAACAAGGGAAAACAGCTGCTTTCCCTGGGCCCACTGGTACTTGACAGGAACAGGTTGAAACTTCTCAGGGAGAGCGTTTGTCCTCTGGGAATTGCTATTTTGTGTGTGGTTTCTGCAATTTAATGAGGGAGCGTGGTGAATCTATGGAATGGGAATTGTCACAGCAGAGTTTCTGGTTTGCTGTTGCATGTAATTTTGGAACAGATACTTTTTATGGAAACAGTGATTTTAAAAAATGGTTTGGAGGGGCTGAAAAAGATTTTTCTAATAAAAGTTAAATTGCTCCACAATGTCATTTTTAAAAATGTCTTCTTAGCTTTACACTGTTGTTTTTCAGAGTACCTTTTCATTTTAAAATTTGTTTCTATTTACATGATCTGAGTAGGCTCCTAAAGCAACACCAAAATGTAAAAATGGTTTCTACACACCCAAAATAAAACCCCTGGACTTCGTTTTGGGGGAAATTTTTGTTTTGTTTTGTTTTGTTTTGTTTTTGTGTGTGGTTTCTTTTGTTTTGTTTTGTTTTGTTTTGGTTTTGGGTTTTTTTGAGGAATTTTTTGGGTTTTTTTTTTTTTTTTGTAACATGCTAGAAACTATGTTTGGCAAAATGGAAATTCCTCTTCTATGACAGTTCTCCCCATGACCCTCTCAGAGTCAAACC